GGTCCAGGTGGTTGAGTATCAGAGTGTTCCATCTCATTTCCCTTTGGGGTTGCTGTAGGTGATCTGGAAGTCTGGTTTTGAGACTTTTTTACGTGCTTTCTCATTTCGACTGGGGCAGGGGGCTGTTAGCACCTGCACAAATTACCTCCTCTGAGCTGGGAGAGTTGGGACAGGGGCCAGGCGCGGCGGTAGGGATGGTGGCCCAGAAGTCCCTTCCTCTGGGCCAGGAGTGGTGGGACAGAAGGTGGCTCAAAAGCCCTTTCCTCTGGGCTGGGAGCAGTGGGAGGGATGGTGGCCAGAAAGCCCCTTCCTCTGGACCAGCAGCAGTAGGATGGCAGCTCAGAAGCCCCTACCTCTGGGCCAGGAGCGGTGGGAAGGATGGTGGCCCGGAAGCCCCTTCCTCTAGGCTCGGAGCAGCGGGAGGGATGGTGGCCAGGAAGCACCTTCCTCTGGACCACGTGGTTTTTTGTTTGAAGTTGATATATACGGAAAAGTGTTTGACTTGAAATTTCCCTACGTGAACACACCCATGGAAACAGAATCTCAGCCGGGAAAGAGCATACCTAGGAGTCCAAACTTCAGAAGCCTTCTCCTGCTCCCTTCCAGTCACTGCATTTCCAGCCAAACTAGCCACTACTCTGACTTACTAGACCAAAGATTGGTTTTGCCTATTTTTGAACTTTTGAGTCATCTGTGTGTATTTTGTGTGCTAGCTTTGTTCAATATTATGTTTGTTAGAGTCATCCTTACCTTCACATAGTTGTCATTTGCTCATTCTTAATGTCAAACAGTACTCTATTATTTGAATATGAATTTATTTTTTAATTCTTCTTTTTGGTTTCAGTAATTTCCAATTTGGCATTATTATAGTTAATGCTTCCATGAGTATTCCAGTACATATTTCTTAATGAATATATTTGTGTATTTCATTTGGATGGAAACCTAGGGGTAAATTTTAGTATTATGTGATGTACATATTTTCAATTTTAGTGGACTGTGTTCAAAAGTTTTTCAAAATGGCTTTCTGTTTACCTTCCCTCTACCTATTAGTGCACTTATTCTCTAGCCTTGTCAGAATTTAGTACTTGATCTTTTTTGTTTTAGTTTTACTGGTAGGTATGTTATAGTGCCCTCTTGCAGTTGTAGTTTTTATTTTCCTGAAGATCAATAAGTTGAACGCCATCTCATGTTTTGTACTAATTCACTTTTCTGTGAATTATCAGTTGAAACCTTTGCCTATTTTTAAATTACTTGGTTTAGCTTTTTTTAAAGAATTGTTGGCACATGCATTAAAATACATTCTTCTGTTCTGTGGTTTCTGGTTCACTCTTAGATATCTTTAAATGGATGGAAGTTCCATTTTATCAATCCTTTACACTTCAGATTTTTTGTTTGTAGTTTAAGAAATATTTTCCTACTTTAAGATCTCAAAGACATTCTGTATTTTCTTTTAAATGTTTTGCTAATGTTTTACATTTGTATCCTTAAATTTATCTGGAGTTTATTTTTATATGTGACATAATATAAGAGTCAAGATTATTTTTTTCATATAGATCAATTGTCCAGACTACTTATTGACAATCATTTCTTATTGCACTGAAGTTTCACTTTTGACATAAATTAGTTTTACATATATACATACACAAACCCGTCAGTCTGTGAAGGACCCTCTGTTTTGTTCCTTTGATCTGTTTTTCTACCATTATCACAGGGTTTTAATTTTCTTCATGTTATAATAGGTATTGATATGTGTTAGAGTTGGTTTACTTCAAAATCACCTTAGTTTTTTTTTTAGTTATTTTTGTCCTTTTGCATTTTCATATGAATTTATACAAAGTAAAGAAAGCCTGACCAGGGTTTTGATGGAAGTGCATTGAACATATATACCAATGTAGTAGACCAGGATTTTGATGGAAGTGCGTTGAACATATATACCAGTGTAGTAGAATCATTACAATATAGTCTTCTATCCCAGGAAAATGGCATATGCCTTTGTATATTAGATCTTCTTTGCAAAAACACTGTTAAAATAGTTGTTAGTTGTATGGATTTTTTCCATAATTAATTGAATTTATTTTGAACTTTTGAAGTTTTATAGTATTATTGTAAATACCTTTAAATTTTATTTCCTGTTTGTTTCTAAGTAGATATACAAGTGATTTTTAAATGTAGTATTAATTTTTATTATGTCTTGTTCAAAGGAAAATTCACTACAAGCTTCATAAACAGATGAGCAGTTGTTAATGTTCAAGTTACGGCCCTACAGCTGCAGCTCTTGCTATGATTATTTATTTATATTATAATTTAGCAACATTAGAATCAATTAAATTGTAGTTAATTTAAGGATAGTTTAAATTTAGTGACAATGTAAAGATAGCAACAGTGCAGAAAGTTTTAAAAACAGATTAAGATGTAATTCACATACATAAATTGACCATTTTGAAATATGTAATTCAGTCTTTTTTTATTCACAGGGCTTCTAAAAGATAACTGATGTGCACTAGCCATCATTATACGTTCCCTCTCTCCCTGGTCCTAAGCAAACAATCATCTACCTTCTGTCTCTATAGATTTGCCTATTCTGGGCATTTCATATAATACATGCTCTTTTATGACCAAATTCTTTTGTTTAGCTTATTTTCAAAGATCACCCATGTTTCAAAGTTCATACCATGTAGTATGTATCAATACTTCATTTTTCTGTTGTCAGATAAAATATTCAATTATCGATATGGCACATTTCATTAATCCAGTTGGCTCATCTACATACATGCTTTTGCTTAACTGCCAAGCATGTACTCTACCCCTGAGCTATACTTCCAGTTTCTGTGTTTTTGAGATGAGAATTAATTTTTATTTCCCTGAAGTAGTACAGTCATTAGAACATTAGGGTCTCGTGTTGACATTCTGGTCCCTCATTAAGTGTAAGAAAGTGTGCTGCTGTTGGCTTCACTCCATGCCCATTGGGAGTCTCTGTAGACTGTGGTAATCAATACTGAGAACTGAGAAAGAGGAAGATAGCTCAATACAGATAACCAAATTTTTGTACTAGTAGGTCCTGATCTACTTTTGAGGGACCCCCGATCTTTGTAGTGGTTGAACTTTGTAACTAGAGACATACTTATTTTATTACTTAAGCACTTGATTCTGAGCCCAAGAACTCAGTTAAGATACAAAGTCAGTAATATATGATAGTTAGTCTTGACTTTGGTACTGATTCTTTTGAATGACAATAAAAGAAATACTTGTGTACCTTTTTACACATCTGTTCAGTAAGGACAGCTGTGTCCTTAGTAAAATAGTGCTCATAATAGTGCTGTAGGAATTAATTTGTATAAACATTAGGAAGAAACCAGGTGCCTATATTTTATAGTTTTGTTTATAAAAAACATTGCACCAGAATGATTTATTTTGAAAGAGACAAGATAGGTAATTTCTATTCATGTTGCCGATCTGCTGAGTAGCCAGGTAACTCCAAGGGCCTTCTTATTCCACACTCCTTGGTTTTCCCTTCCTCAAAGGCAATGCTTCTCAACTTCAGCAACTCCAGCTGGGTCACGAGCTGATCTTTTCAGCATTAACGTTCATTGATGTATATGTTTTCATTTCTGGAAGATATTAGTTTCATTTATGATGTTAATAAAAAAGATTTGCCCTCGTGAGTGTATCAAGTCAGGGTACCTTCCTAATAACTACATCTGTTGTTTCAATGGACCTTCTGTACAAATTCAACCCTCAAATCAGAAAGATCGTTCAAAACGAGAAACAGCACTCTGTCAAAATGAGTATATTAGAAATTTGGCTCAAAAAGCAATATGAAGGTTTAAGGAAATTTTTCCAGTAGAATGTAGGTCTTTATGAACAGATGTTAATACAAATCCAAGAATACTTCAAGGGACCCAGAAAGTAGTATTAGTTTTATAAAAGCAAAATTCTCTAATCTTTGTAAGAGGAAGCTACTTTTCAATGCAGTTAGTTTTTCCGTAGTAAGAGCAATATATATGTATGACTTTATTGTTGGAAAATGCTTATACCGATTATCATATTTGATCCTCAGAGCATTCTGAAAGCTAAGTAGGACAGATATTGTTTCCTTCATTTTATACTTGAGGTACTATGAGGTAAATGACTTATCCAGGAACACACAGAAAATTGGGAGGAATTGGGATGTAGCCCCAAATATTTTGACTCCAAATTCTGTGCTTTTCCATATTACCTAAAACCTTACAAAGTACATTCATTTGAATCTTACATAAATTCTCTGAAACAGCTTTTTTGGAAACCTTATAATATGTCAGATATTTTAGTTATGGTATGTCATTTGATTCGTAAAATTAGTTCTGAGAGCAAATTTTTATTCCTTTTTTTAAATGAGGAAAACTGGGACTCAGAGATACTTCTCAAAGTGACAGTTAAATGATAGATCCAAATTCAAATACGAATTTCTTTGATTCTAAAATCTATCTGTATCCAGTAAATAAGATGTCAGTGGTGCTTTCTCTAGTATACGTCCTACATATTAACTGACAGTTTGCTATGTTTCCATTTGACCTCTGGACCAATAGCTGGAGAACTTTGTTCTGCTATCTTCCTTTTTATTACAGAACAGGTGAAGTTAATTATCCCCAGAGATTGCTTTAATTTGGTAGCATTCTAATTAATTAATTAATCTGGATAAAGATCTGTGATTTTTGCATTTTGTCTTTAGAGGAGTCAATCAACGTTTTGGGGAGTACTGTACTCCCTGTTCAGAAACAAAATAAAACAAAATTCTCCGTTATACTATTCCAGTTTTAAGATTCTGTTTATCTCATAAGGGTAGGGTTGGAAGAACAAATGGAGATCTGTTCACCTTTTATGAGAATCCCTTTTTTACTCAAAATCTAACATAAAAATACATTTCCAAGCAATAAAAGACACTTCCTGCAAAAAAGGACAATCTGACCCAAGTATGTTTATAATTGTCATCTATTAACTGAAAAGTCATTTGGTGGGAATGACCTTTTAGAATTTCTAACCAGCCATATTCTTTAGTTAGATTTTTTCAGTTCCCTTTGGTAAGCAAGAGCAAAAATAAACACATTTCTTTTGATGATATAATGTATAAAAGTCAAATATGTCAGGTTTTATCGCTCAGATTTGGAGAAATAAATTTCTCTTGATATTTTCAGTAAATAAAGAATTATTTCCAAAATAAGAAATATGTTTTCATAAAATTACCATCATTATGATAGTTTTTTATTGTTTTTTTCCAAGAAATCAGTATAATCAGGATAACCTATGTGTGTTCTGTTTAAATTAGCTCTTGCTTGGTCGCTAAAATATTATGTTTTTTTGGCTTGTATCTCACATAAAAGAAGAATCACACAGTGTATTTGTGGGTTAATGCTTTAATTTCTATCAAAAGACTGTAAGTTTCCACTTGAAGTTATGAAAATGTTATTAGGCAGTGTATAACAGTGTTTTCCTTCACTCAGATCATAAAAATACTCATGAAAAATTACTTCACAATTTTTAACTCAAGATAAATTTGTTAGAAATGATTGTAGAACTTTGTTAGTCTGTATGATTTTGATTTTTAAAATAGCTATCTTACAGAAATTCCTAAACAGGCTTCCTTCAAGTTTATTACTATCTGCCTTTCAAAAATTTCTGGACTTGAGAATAATCTTTCCTTAGGATTTACACTGTTAGTGTTTTCTTACTTTTAGCAGTTGGCGTTAAAAGCAGCTTTTTGAAAGGCAGTAAAAGTCAGGCAACTTGTGGGTGGAGAAGCACAGGAAAGACATATGGGTCCTGGCAAACTTCAGATTTCATTTTTTAAAAATGATTATATTTCCATATGTTTACAGTGATTTACTCTAGTAATATCTTAATTGAATTGTAAGAAAGGCAAACTGTCATATTTTAATCCCTTTGGAAGGTATAAATGTAAAGAAATATGTCACCTGACAGAATTATATTTTACTTTGTCATAACTTTTTTCCACTACTCCCTCAAATCACTCACTGGAAGTGACATTTACAAAAACTACATTTTATGATTAGGTGGTTCAACATAAAAGTAAATAGAGACCATAATACATGTAAAGGAAATGGCATGAACACTTATTTGTGTATGTGTGTGGACCTTCATCAGTTCATTTATTCATTTATGAAACACTTCAGAAGAACCATGTGAGAAGTCAGAATCATAATGACAGGTGTGAAAATTATATGACAGGTCTATGGAGGGTGTTCTAGGAACACAGATGACATGCATCTTAAAATCAGAACCCCATAAGAGATATAGAAGTAGATTAGTGAATTGCGAGCCATTCCAGTTAAGGAATTCCTTCAACTGTGGATTTATTTGAACATTTTACTAGAAGGTTTGGTGAAGTATTAAAATTACATATAGGCAGGACTACTGATTAATACAATCTGGACTGTATATTAGATGTATGTTTTAGAAAATTCTCTTTGACTGCATAGTTGAGGGTAGAGGATTCTCTATTAGAAAATTATTTTAGTAGTTAATCAATACATAATTAAAATCTGTAGATTGGGAATGTAAAGGGAGGAGAGAGGATATAGGTTCAAGAGATATTTAGATGATAAATTCTACTATTAATAGCTTACAGGATTGGAGGAGAGAGGTCAAGAAAAAGGTTTAAATAGGTTCTAGTTTCTGATTTGGACAACTGCCTGGATGGTTGAACCATTCACCAGGACACAAGAGGAGGGGAAGTAAAAAAGTAACAGTAAAAGAGGGGAAAGGAAGAATTAATATTACCAGTTTTGAGTACTTGTGTGATAAGTGAGACAGTAAATAATAAACCAACAAATTAACTAGTTAATATTATATTGTGGTAAGTAGTAGACATAAACATTGTGACAAGGATTAGAAAAAAGTTGTCGGATGAAGATAAATATAGGGGACCATTTTTTATAGCAATTGCTCAGGAAAGGTTTGCTTAAGTAGCTCAGCCTTGGAAGATAAGAAAACTTAGGGGCCAACAGAGGGACCAGCAAGTGAAAAGGAGTGGATGTTGGAGGAACATGACCTGTGGAATTAAAAAGAGTCACTACAGCTAGAATATAATATGTAAGAGTAACATGACATGGGCTTGGAATGAGAAGGAATTCAGAGTGTACGTGGAAGTATTTACCTTATCCGTTTACTAGAAGGACAAAGCTGAGCAAATGACACAGAGACATACCAGTGGTGAGTAGAACTCTAAAGAACTCCTTCTTTTATTCCAGTAATATGAGGTGAGATTTCTATCCTATTTTTGAAATTAGGGAACGAGTTAAGGATTGTGGAAAGTAGTCATCTCTGAGTGGGAAAGGAAACTTACTAGAAGTTGTAGCATTGCTGACAAGTTGCCTACTTTGCTTTGTGGTTATTACTTTGAAGTGAAATCAGTCATACCAGAGCTTCATGAGAGCAGACACAAAGAATACCATTATTGAATAAAAGTAAAATTATTTCCATTTATCTTCCATTTCCTTCCATGAGAAAAATGAAGCTCAGAGAAGTTAAGGCTTGTTTAGAGACTTGAAAGCATCTGTAGGACTTCAACCCTGATCTTTCTGATTCTTAGGTCCATGGGCTTTTGAATACAGTGCACTGCCCACACAAGGTCTGTTTGTTGTTCTTAAGAACTAAAATTAGCTCTGAGCTCAACATTCATGCCAGTTGTGGAGAGCTATGAAAGGTATCAATTGCTCCCAATAACCTGTTATTGGGAACTTAGCAATTATTTGAAAGAAAAAAAATTCTCTTAGTACTAATATCTGAAAAGAATTTAGTGTGAAGTTTCTTATGTACAAGGTATTAAATATAATGAAATACAGTTAAGTGCAATTTTACACAAGTTTACAGAAAATCTCTTACCCCTTGAGACTGGGCAGCATTAGAAATCATAGTATAGGAAAGGCATTTCAGCAGGGAGACAAGCTAAAATAATCCGAGTATATTAGTTTTTGGTTATCTGGCTTGATGTAGAAAACCTGACAGTTTATTGATTTTTAACTGTAACTTTGACAGAAGCTGGCCATTAGCCAACCTGGGACCAAACTCTGATGAGAGAGAGTCTGAAGAGTCTGTGATTTGTTTTGTTGATGGAAGCAAGATTCATATTCTTTAGTTATTAGATTTACAGGAGTGAGCATAGACATTTGGTTATTAAAATTATAGCTCCCGGCTTGTGTTCCTGCTGAACAGAGGGGCCATCTTTCTTAACATAGTGGAATTTGGCCTAACAGGGCCAAATATTTTAGAAAGCAGTTTGGGAAAATGGCAAGCCAAACATACATTTTCTTTCCTTCTTTCCCAGCACCCACTGATATGGTAGTAAAGATAATGTGCATAAAGAATAAATTCATGGTAGCTGGGTGTGGTGATGGAAGCCTGTAATCCAAGCACTCTGGGAGGCTAAGGCAGGAGGACTACAAGCTCAAGCCCAGGATGGGCAACTTAGTGATTTAGCAAGACCCTGTCTCAAAATAAAAACAAAAACAAAAGAATAAATCCAAGGCAGTGGTAAAAGCATGAGGTGACCATCAGACTAGCAAAGATTTTGACATAGTTCTCAGAAACAAACTAGATAGGACTGCTTAGATGAATATACTAGAGTAGAGAAAAACCATAGCCCAGAATGGAATTGGGAAAGGCTGCAGTAGAAGTTCCTGGTAAGGAGACCCTTCAGAGGCCTCAAGCTTGGAATTTCCAAGTATAAATATCAGTAACTATCTGGGGCAGTAATCAGGGTAAGTGGGTCTACTGGTTTGTTCTCTTTCTTCTGTTTATCTGGAGTAACTCCATATAATATTTGCTTTAGCTACCTTTTAAACATATGGATTCTTGATCTGGTTAGGTCCCATGCTGTAAATGTTTGACATGGTAGAAAGGCCTGAAGTGACTTCAGACTTTGATAACCAACCCAGAGGAAAACATGAAAGACAGCTCTACTTAAGAATGAAATCCCCTAAAATAACACAATCCCAAAGTAAAGTTCTATTTGACAGTTGTAGTAGTTTAAAATAAAGATACTACCTTCTCCCAGCATATATACCCTGAAAGAAAGCCTAATTGTCAACAGGACCTGCTCATTTATACCAAGCTGGCATTAATGAATGAGGCCTCTTATGTAAATAAATCTTTACAGCTTCAAAGAAAACCTATACCAGTCATCTATACTAATCAGTCTATCATTTATTCATAGATTTGAAGGGAGAGCCAAGGGTCATCAGATACTTGAACTGTACAAATAGAATAGCTGACCCAAAAGGAACAAAGAACAGAGGAGTTTTTATAAAAGATTTGACTCTGCATGGAATATAGAAAACTGGTAAGAGTTTTATGTCTACCCTAAAGAAGAAGCTACATAACCTACAAAATCATAACTTTCCTTGAGTTCATCAGAGAGCTAGTATTTTAGGCCATCCAAATATCCTGATCTGTAAGGAAAACAGGTACTGACAGAGGAGAGAGAGAGGAGTTGTGAGTACTGATCACCACTGGCAGAGAATGGGAAGAAGTTGGTGCTGCTATATAAGAAGGTAAAATAATTCAGCTAAGACTTTTGTTTTGTTTGGTACTGGGGATCAAACTCGGGTCCTTGCTCTTGTGAGGCAGGTGGCTGAACCACTGAGCTAAATCCCCAGCCCAGCTAAGGCTTTTAACAAATAATTAATGGTCAAGTATGAGCTACTGTGAAACCATAGCAATCATAAGAATAATATTGCAGATTTCTGTGGTGGTGGAAGAATTCATATACTTTTTGTTGAAATATGTGGGTGGTGGGTGTCAACCTAAATATCTTATAGAATCATTAAGGTAAAGATTTGGGGAGGTATTATATTAAGGGTTAAGAGGATAATTGGTGTTCCTTGATTAAAGTCTACCAATTGAGAGAGCAGTGGAAGCTCAGCTGGTCCCAGCACCCAGAAGGAAGCTCCCCCGCAGCCATCCCAAGCTCCTAGGGCAGAGAGTGGGCACCAGAAGCAATACCCCCCCCCCCACCGTGGAAATGAGAAGACACATAAACAAGCCTAAAAATCAGACTTCCAGATCACCTACAGCAACCCCAAAGGGAAACGAGATGGAACAATCTGATACTCAACCACCTGGACTCTCTGAACTGGCAACAAAAGAGGATCTGG